CTTGCAGTTGCCTTGACTGACAGCCTGCAATGTGAATGCAAACCTTATTAGATACTATTCACAGCAGGCAAGAAGATAGGTGCCTGCCAGCGCCCCCTGAGAACTGCCCACAGGATGCAAATCCAAGAAAATAAGGCACCATTAGTTCCTCTTCTTTATATACTATGACATTGTTAAATGATTCATTCCCATGGCTTCCTAGATTTTGCCTTTTGTACACTGCTGTCTTACAAAGGTAGCAGCTTTCTGCAGCCACTTCTTGCTCTGATGTTGCAGTCTCCTACTACTCCTCAAAATACTGGATCGAACAGGGCACTGGCAAGAACAGCACTAAGGATCACAGTTCAAGCTTGTCTTCAAAGAAGGACAGTTATTGCGGAAACACACCCTTGAGGACATCTGTAAAATGTAACATCAAGGGTGGTAGATAAAATTGTCTTGGTTGTGGACAAACACTCTGAAACCAGAAGGTCTTCCTGATCAGCTGGTGAAACATTAACATAGCTTTGTTTGTATTGTCTGTGGAATTGTGCTTAAAATTTGCTAGCTAGCATGTCCTCTTGATATCAAATTTTCTCAGAAAGATGAGAGGGTGCAGAGTGTTCTTCCCTTTGCATATCCTTTCTGGTTTTTTTCCTTCCTTATTTTTCAAAAGTAGGCATAAACAAGTGTTAATGAGCATTGATGAAGGAGCCTCTGCAGAACCATGACAAGTGTGAGGCAGAGAGGGAATAAAGTCAGTAATTCAGGCTGTTTATGTGTTTCAGCATGGCCATCTAAACTGCTCTGTGTGCATTACAGCTCACCAGGTGAAAAACAGCACCGTGCTGGTGTCCTGGCTGGCCCCTGCTGCTGTAGTACTCTGCGGGGGCAGCTGAGAGCTTGCCAGCTTTCTTTGAGTCAATACTATTGGGAAGAAGGGAGGTAAGGGATTAGTGTAAGGACAGCAAAAGGAAAACTGAATTAAACACAAAAGAGGCATTTAAATTAGACCATCCTGATGCATGTTCCACACACATTGCTCCTATGTTCAGGCAGCACTTTGATATTTTGGATTTTCTGTTTCAGCTCTCTTCTGCCTTACCTACCCACTTGCCTCTTGGGCTTTGTCATATCTTTGCAGTAATCTGCTCTGCCCAGTCTCATCCACATCAGCAGTAGAGATCATCACAGGTGGTGGGAACATGGTGTTCTTTGAGCTCTGCTGCCCTGAACATCACCAGAGAGTCGCCTCACTTCAGGCTTATACTCGCATGCAAAACCTTTTCTCTCCATTAGTAACGAGCAGTGGAAAAAAAAACCTGAATAAAAGCATAGATCTGAGGCCCTCATACACAGGCATTTTAGAAGCTTAGGGTGTCTAAGCACTATTAGTAAAATAATCACAAGATGAGTCAGGAAGAGGAGAGGTCATGGGAAAAAGGTCTGCAAAATATTCCATAATAAAATGCAAAACAATCAGAATTCAGGTATTTATTCCAGGCACAGTCTGCTAGAAAAAATGCTCCATATCTCTTTGAAACTGTTCCACAGACAGAGTTTCTGTTAAAGAAAAAAAAGAACCACCACTCTAATTTATTGGGATTTTTTGCATAAGGTAACACCCACGTGGGGAATTGAATCCACTGCACAGGACAGTCAGTTGCTGTCTGGATGGCAAGAGGAGCCTCTGTTGCAAGGGTTTTCACAACGGTGTCTTCAGCTGCATCAAATGAGACTCTCTGAACTCTTGTTCTGCTGAAGTCTTGTAATCCAGCTGGTCCTGTGTGGCCACTACATACCATGATCCTTTGGCAGCGATTACTTTAAACTGTGCACAAAGCATCTCTTAACTGTCTTAACTGGCTTCAAAAGACTGTTCTGTGTGACCATTTCTGCATCTGCAAGAACAGTTTCCACAGACCATCTACAAATGTCTTACCTATGTGCAGCTGAATCCATTCTACAGCAGGAACTGCCTGGGGGAAGCCCACCAGCATGCCCTGTTCTCTGCTTAGCATATTTATCAGCACATTTAAGCATATAAATAGTTCCTATCAGTTGGCCTATGGACAGCAGGGGCTGCTTGCGAGAATCTCCAGAACCGTCCAAAATTCTCACCTGTACAGTTCCTGTAAAGAATAAAACAAATAATTTGTTGTGGATGCAGCTGGGAGTTCAGTCACTTTCTCACAGGCCAGTGCATTGTCTCATCTATGCAGGGTCTAGCTGGGGAGGTCCTATGTCACTCAGGCAATTAATGACTAAGTTGATGTATACAGGTGTCTAAGCTGGTGTATACAGGCATAGCCTGATACCCAGCTACACCACTACTGTGATTACAATTTCCATCTTATATCAAAATTGTAACTGAAATTCCATAGATTTCACCACAGCTGTAGTGTCTGTTTTTCTTTTATTTGAACAAATATGTTTGTGCTTGAACGCTCTGTAAGCCTCTATTTTACTTAGAGAATGGGCGCCTCTTTTTTCAGAGTGTTCTTATGCAGACCGCCCTCACTCACTGTGGTAGTGGGCATGTTTTCTTGATCCTGTCCATGTTACAGTATTTCCTGACATGGGTCTCCTCTCTTCTTTGTGACCCTTTTCCTTTCACTTTCTGCTTTTCTCTGTCCAGATCTCTTCCCTGCCTGTCATACCTGCCATTTGATGATCATCTCATGGGCCAGTTATTCTGTCTTCTTATCTGTGAAACCTGCTCCTCTCATAAATGTCCTTAAGATTCATTCTTCTTCCTGTTGTCTGCTCCAATGCTTTGGTGTGCCGTTTCTCAGGCATCCTCTCATTGTCCCTCAACCCTTCTGCCCTCTAGTCCTGCTTGCTCCTCCTTGGAACGGCTGCTTTCCTCCTGCTTCCCACTAACAGTTGTGGAAGGATCAGTCTGTGTTGCTGTGCGAGAGTTGCAGCCAGGTTTCAACACAGAGCACTGCAAATGTGGAGGATCTTCCTTCCCCCAAGCAGTCCCCAAGCGATCTGAACAGTTTTCTCCTGCCTGTAGCTCTGCAGGAGGGCTGAAGTCACCAGCAAGTGAGGCTACGCTGGCTTTCCCCATTTTCCTTCTAGTGTAGAACAAAGAAGATGTGTAAGCCAAGCTGAACTAAAACAATGCCATGTAGATTCAAACCTCCTCCCAATATGTGATTTCTGTAGACAGTCTTTTATTATGCACAGTTTTCCTGCTTTCAAGAGAAATGTGGAAAGGAGAAGTTTTCACAGCAATGTGTTCTTATACCTGTGAGGTTATCCTTACGCTACTTGCTGATATTAATAGAAGTTGTATGACAAAATCCCTGTACAATATTTATACCTCTTTATTATCTAAGCTACCTATGAACACTAACTTTGGCCCGTGTTTTGCTCCTATGAATTTAAATAATTTACAAAAAAAAAATCCCTTTGTGACATTTCAGCATAAGGCACCTTATGTAAACTAAAAATATATTAACATATATTAAAAATATGAAGAAAATTCAGAACCGAGAGTTACATTTTTTCATTGGTTATTAGTGCATGCTGGGATATCATGCCAAGGTAAATATAATTATCTGCTGTAATTCTAGGCTAGTACTCAAACACACAGAAGCTACATGGTAAGCAGTTATAGGACTGAATGTGCACATCCTGTTTAGATGGCGTATTGAAGACATAGTACTAATGAGATCAAAGTAGTTGCATTTAAATTTCAAGTGGCCTTTTGAAATAGAAGATTAGCCCATTCACTAGAAAACCCCCACAACATTAAAAAAAACACACAACATTAAAAAAAAAAAAAAAACACCACCACCAAAAAAACCTGTTTTGTGCCATTCTGCCAACAGTTTCAAGTGACTGACATTTTCTTACTGGGATTGTTCTCATAATTAAACATGGTGGTAGTTGCACTTTGTTAGTCAGATTTAACTGAAAGAATCAAAATAGCTGTACAAAGGTGAAGCCACTTCTGTAAAATTACCAGTGGATTAGACATTTTGTAAACTATTTTAATATTGAACCCTTATGTAGTGAAAAGACAGAAGTAGGAGAAAGTTTTAAATTACCAGGGAACCCTCAGGTGAGCAATGTGGTAGCTGTGGGAAAAGGTGGAGCATGACGGAAAAGGCTTAGAAAACAAATTTAAAGCGACAAATGCTTTGCAAAGGAAGCAAGAACATGGGAAGACCCAGTGCTGGCAGAAGCCTGCTGCATTGCAGGCTGACCAGCAAGTGGATGAAGGAGGCAGAGGTGGGAGATGAGACATGGGACATATAGGGAGAAGAGAGCTTAGGAAAGCTGACTCTGCTCTTTAAAGGCTTCCAGTGTCCCTTCTGGGTTAAGGATAGCTCTGATTTTTGCCTTTGGGGTAGTTGTTGGGAACAGATAGATAAAAAGTCCTTCTATATAAAATAATTAAGGAAGTTTTCTTCCTTATGTGCATTTGTGTATTTTTTATTAGTTTGATTTGTGGGATTGGGAGTCCCTTTGGTCCCATGGATTCACCTCTAACTTAGATATCAAACTCCAGAAATCTCTCCTTGTCTTGCTTAGTTTTTTACCTGGTTATTTCCAAACACAGTTGTCTGTTTTGGCACCAGGTTAATGACCCGATGGAAGTGGCTGTTTCTAGCTGAATAATGCTCAGAGGAACATAATAGTCAGAGATGGAGCAGTAAATTATTCTTTCACAATGGCAGGATCTATAAGGCATTTCTAAAATAATAATACTCTCAACTGGTGTTAATTTTTAGATTAAACTGTTTTTTTAAAGTAGAATTTGTCTAAGGGAATGTATTTGGGCCAGTCCTGATTTTATCTGGCTTGGTATAAAGCAAATAGCACTAGTGTACTTACTCTGATTGTATTACAAATTTAACTGCTCTTCCAATATCACTCTTTTATATGTGTGCTCTCAGATCTTTGCTTTCTGAGTGCCTCTCCACTCTTCCTTGCCCAAGAGAAGTTTGTACATTTATTGGAGATACTGGAATACACATTGAACATAAAGGTGTTGTTTATTTTCTTAGGATTTGAATTTTTTGAAACAAGTGCCAAGGACAACATTAATGTCAAGCAGACGTTTGAGCGACTCGTGGATATCATCTGTGACAAAATGTCAGAAAGTCTGGAGACGGATCCCACCATCGCTGCCAGCAAGCAGAACACACGGCTAAAGGACACCCCTCCTCCACAGCAGCCCAACTGCGGCTGTTAATGCAGCTATCAGCAAAGGCAGCTCCAGTGTGTTCTGTTGCCAACAGAGTATTTATGAATGGTCTATATGCCTTTATTTATACTGTCTTATTAATTTATTTGGGAGAAAAGTCTTTTATTTCACATCAGCAGCTGGTCGAGTATGTGTATGGAGATGGAGAGGTTATTAGTTTGAAAGAACGATCCATTTTTAGCATCTGGCTTTTGCATGCAGGATGGCTATTAGTTTATCTTTTCTTTTTACTATTTTACATGACACTTACTTCAGCTGGTGCCATGTCCTCAGACCACATTTGCCTAGAATTCACTCCTGCTTCATCAGTTTCAAATTATATGGTTGAATCCTTAGGGTAGTGGCCAAGATGTTTTAGAATAAGCTTCCTGATGCCACTTATATTTTCTCCTGACAGAAAATCAATTTAGAAATATTTCTATAGTGAGCCAATCCCTCATTCTGTCCAGATCATTTGTATAAGGAACACTTCCTGGAGTGTATTGCCTTGGCAAATCTACGCTCATGATGTTACACATCATGGCTGATTGAAAATTGCAGAAGTTAGAAAGAAGTTAGTTCCTGGACCCAAAGCCACCAAACTTCCCTGTGAGTTTCCAGCTGGATGTGGATGTACAGTGCAGACCCTCAGAGATATTAGGCACTTCATCCTGTTTGGATAGCTAGTATGTTTACATTTCCATGGGAGCTGCATGTCTAATATCTTTCTGAAACTGGACTTAATTTCTCATTCCATCATTATGGAGATCCCGGTAGTACTTACCCCAGTAGTGGAGGGCTGACTAGCTCTTTTCATTTCTACTTGCATGAGATATTAAACACACAGTTCTATATTACCCCTGACAGAGCCAAATCCATTACACTTGGTTGCTCATAGCCAAAAACTGCCTTGTCATGTTGCTGTCAAACCTGCATACTTAAGTTTTCAGGAATTTCATCTCCCATGTCACTGAGATAACCATCACCACACTGGCTACAAACACCTGTATTTTACTCAGATCTATTGCAGAAGTGCTCCTGGTGTCAGTGAACTGGAGTTTGGCTTCATTTCTACTTTGATGAGGATATCTATCTTGAGAAGACCATCAGAATTTCACAAGATCTTTAAATACTTCAGGAGTAACAAAAAATTGTCAACATTTCTAGTGTTAGACTGAATACATTCATAAGATCAGCAAAGGCTGTGAAGATAGCAGAATAAAATACACAAATTCTTTTTTAATAAAGTGTTAAAAATAGTCATATTTCACAGTTTTTAAAAGTACTCCTCCAGTAATTAGTGGCAGTTTCTTACATCTGTGCTCTGGAGTACTTTGTACAACTGCTTTACTTGCGTCACAGTGACATTTTTTAACTAAATGGCATAACAGAAGAAGCATTAACTGTTTTATTGTTCCAATTAGACAGAATTTAGGACAAGGCTGACATTTCTTAATCTGCAATAGGAAAAATCAGAAGACAAGTTAAAAAAGGGAAGTAACACAAAGTACTGAAAACTGCTCACAACTGCAAAGAAATCCCTCTGATTTTTACATTACTTTTTTTGAAGGTAGTTTATACAACTCCTGAAACACACTAAAAGAAAATGGTCACTTTTATTTTACCAATTAAATAACCTACATACACTTTAACACAGTAAAAGTGACTTCCAAACAAGGCATATAGACACATATAAAATGGATATGCCATCAGGGCGCTACGTTGGCTGCCTAACTTAAATGAATAAATGTTATGTCTTCAGTCTGGGGTTTTAAACCATGTCTGTCCTGTTAGCTAGTTTACTTAAGCACTTGTTTTCCTAGTAGACATGGAGACTGGACTTCACTTGTTTACTTCCATGAAGAGATAGCACTGTCCTCTCTGGGGCCGATGAACAGCCAGGTGGAAGAGGTATGTGCTATCCCAATAATAATCCCGCCTCTCTCTAGGGACGCTGATTTTCTCCCCCCCATCTAAGGCAGCATGTTGATAACTGTGCTGAGAGACTTTCATTAATACCTCTTCACCCACTAGGTACCAGCTGCTTCGGAAAAAGAAGTGATAAGAAGCTGAGGAAGATTTGTGTGAGACGGTGGGCAGTTTTCCATCCTTTTCTTGTTATGTGCAGTTATTCCTGATGGAGAAAAAGGAGCAGGCAAGCCTTGAGACAGCACTCAGCTTCATCCTTCAAGTCCTTTAGAAAAGGTTTAGGTTGTATTATTAGTCTGAGCCATCTAAGTCAAGGCAAGGAAAGAGGAGGACATAGTCATACTTACATGAGTTTGGGCATATCCTGGATCATGCAGAATGGTTACAAGTGCAAGTATTCTTCCAGCTTTGCTCTGGGGTGCTTGCTGCAAAATGGCCATCTCCTGTGCACGTTGTAACAAGGAAAAAAGACTCCAAGATGCCCCTTGCTACAGCCACACCTTGCTTGTACTCCATTGCAATGAATTCCAGACCCTCCCTGCCTCTTTACGACCATGTAGACTCTAATCAGTGGTGGCAATACATTATTAGCATATATTTTTTTTAAACAAATTGAGTGATAGATAAATAGTTCTTTACTTAAATAGGATTAATTAATGGCTTTTCATTTTGCATCAAGACTCTGGGCAGAAGAGTGACAGCAAAATCAAAGAGGGAGAATCTCTCCTTCACATTTCTGAAACAACTAACCTCCCAGGCCTCCAACGTGTCTGACCATCTGCATGGGATGGGGAGGATAGGAGAAGCAGCTGCCAGAGTAACATTGTTCATTAGACTGCCAGCCATGTGTTACACGGAAAAAACTCGTCTGAAATACAGCAGCAGAACCAGTCAGGATTTAAAAACTCCTAGGATCTTTGTATTGACACTCAGACATTGTCATAGAGTTCAGAACTAGTCAGATTAAATTTTAAAGTGTTCACATCAGATCCTTGGAGGTTTTCAAGATGAGAGAGGCTAAAGCCCTAGGCAGACTTCTCATACCTCTTAGTTGACACTGTTTTGAGCAGCAGGATGGATGACCTGCTGATGTCCCATCGAATCCAATTTATCCTATCAATCATCCCTTCCTCTGAAATTCAAAATGTATGGAAGGTCATGTAGGCCTTTTCTTAACAATCAGGGTTACCTACTGTTAGAAAAGTAGGCTTTGATTTTCCATCACAGGTTGGCTTTTGCAGCCACGTGTTTCACAGCAATATTGAGTTTTCTGCTATAAAGTGTGGTCAGATTTAGATCAGGAGCATCAGGATCTCAATACCTCTCTCAGCTGGAACCTGACTATTGTAGAGAAACACAAAAGAAAGACTTTTGGGAAATAACTTACTAGCCCTTCCCCAAATATTCTAAAAATGTAGCTTGAATTCTGGGGAAACTATCAGGATTGGGATTTGCATTCTATTTAAAATTATGCCATGTCCTCTTCATAGGGTAGGATATCCAAAAGCAGCCTGTGTCAATCTAGTTCGGCTTCTATTGACTTATGTGAAAGAACTGCAATTTTCTTAAATGCAAGTAGAGTTAGGCTAGCACTTTTGGAAATCCCATCCCAAGCTGATCAAGGGCCAAAAGTTAAACAATCAATGGCTTGTTCTTCACACATATCCAAGTCACTGATTATGAGTTGTTGGAGGATACAAGCAGGATTTTTTTAGATCCCTGATCTATCCACTGGTGTAGCACAGTCCCATCAAGAGAAAGTACCAGGCTACAAAGAGTTCTATTTTAGTCATGAAGAGGGCTGGATCATTAAATTGAAACCTGGGATAAGAGATCCAGAACTATTTTCAGCCTCATCGTAATTCTTGGTGAAAAAGTACTCACACACTTTGCACTAATTTGTTGTCACTCTCAGCACAGAAATAGGACTGAATGTCTTGGAGCGTTATTGGTCCAGCCACAGATATCTCCTTCAGCTGAGATTTAGGCCACTTGGTAAGATACAGCAGTTGACACACAGAGCATATTAAATTTCTGAGAAATTAGATGCCTTTGGGCAGAGGGTCCTGAGCTCCATAGTGCCAGCTGAACTAATAATACACAACCCATTTTCCAAGTTATGATCTAGACTAAAGCTTTTTAGCAGCAGGCTAATCCTGTGCATGGGTAATGCACCAGCCTTATCATGTCCTGACAGTGTCTTGCTTGCTGCATGATCAAACTAGTGCTCAGAAAATGCCTTGGGAGCACACAAGAGCACAGGACGTGACTGGTTGCTGTGGTGCCTCCTGGCACCGACCTGACGAGCAGCTAGCGAGCCCTGCTGGGTTGAACTTTCAGATGCATGTTTTCGATTCTGATAGGAGTTCATGTTCACAAGTGTTCTGGTCCTTATAACACAACTAACTTAACACTTTATCTTTTTGTTGTTGTTGTTGGTTTGCTTATTTAGACCTGTTTGTTTGGTGTTTGAAATACATATGAGCTAGCCTGATTTTCTGTCAAAAAATACTCTTTCTGAACAGCTGTGTACGTGACTGTTACCTGGAACTCTTTGTTCCTTTGTGCTTATACTTAATGTAACACCTAGAGAAACTACCTGAGCAACTACATCTATGTGGCCTTTCCAGAGCACCAGTCTGAAAGATTAAGTTTTCTTCCCAGTCTGCTCAGCTCTGTATATTCAGCTGTACCACCTGCACCTTCTTTATTTTAGGAATGAAGTGCTATTTCAGGGTGCACAAAGTCTGCTGGAGTTTGATCCTAACTTTGAGAATGCTTTAATTGTAATTTTTAGAAAAAAAATGGTGGTACATATTCTACATCTGATGATGATGCCTTTGTTTGTTCAATAGCAGATGAATTATGCTGCATTTGCATTGCAAAAGAAGCCCCCCTCCCAAATTCCACCCCCCTCCCCGACTACTCTTTTCTATATTTGTTTGTGAGAGGCAAGTTTTATTACTTGCATTCTTAAGGGCATCAACTAAATTACTGTTCTGCTGATGGACAGATTCCCCTTGGCCTGTTTCATATAGGCAGACACACAGTGTATGAGCCTAGTTCTTCTTTAGGATGAC